ACGGACCTTGTTCCCACAGCTCTCTGATGACACCAGACAGCACAGCGAGGCTGATAGCACAGAGCTGACCCGCTGCATCCTGCTGCAGGGTAAGGAGAGGAGCTTTGGCAATGCTTGGCAGTGCCCTGGCCAAAACCTTTCTCGCCAACCTCAGGAATGGACATGTGTTTCTTGCTAACACAGCACGGGATTTTCTCTCTGCAGCCCGGATCTGCCCAGAGGAAGCAGTCCTGTTTCTGCGGTTGCAGCTGGGCAATGAGAGGGAGGCTGGACGCGTGGCAGCCCTGGGTCTGCTCAGTGCTCTAGCTTGCTCTGATGGTCAGTACCATGGGTCGCTATTTCCAGGGATCCCTTTTTCCATCAGGGTTGTGTCTCCATGCATGCTTCTGCACATCTCTTGCAGAGCCTGTGATGACGGAGAAGCTGCCCCAGGTCGCAGAGGCTTTGCAGTGCGTGTGCAGCGACCCCAGGATCCAGGTGAGCTGCTTTGGGAAAAGAAAGCTCTGTTGGAGTGGTGACGGGCAGGGCTGGGGTGACTAGACAGGTGCTGGGGCATTGACCACAGGGTTGCGATGGCTCCTGTGGGGAGAGCAGGCAGAGTGGAGCAGGCAGGTCCCTGTGCTGCACTTGGAAGGTGCACCGCCTGGTGCTACAGCCTGGCCCTCACCTCAAGAGCCAAGGCTTCTCCTCTGCTCTCGCTGTCTCTGCTCGTGCCCAAAGGGCTGTCCCAATGAGCACGTAGCTTCCCTTTGCCTTCTGACCTGGAAAATCAAACCCATAACTGACCCCTGGCAGGTGAGGAAGGCCATTTTGCGTTTCATCGAGGACCTGCTCAGCACCGATGCCCAGAGCTGCTCATCCTGGGACGTAGTGGGGCATATCTTCAATGAGTTCAGCCGCAGCACGGGAAGAAGGGTAAGGACAGGGGGCTGCATTTTCTTTTGGAAGGCCTTTGCTGCTCAAAGGCTGGCACAGAAGCACCAGTGGGACCACACCTGAGCCAGCTGAGAGTAACTGGTGTTTCAACAACAATGTTGTGCAGGCAGCTGGAGTCCTTTCTGCCCAGGAGGCCCAGGAAGAAGGAGCTCTGCAAGAGCAGTGCATGAGCATCCTGGGATCGCTGGATTTCTCAGTGAGAGGAATGACCAAAGTAAGTCACACTCTGCCCTGCTGCCGCTCCTCGCCTTCGCACCACGTGTTCCTTGTCCCATTGCAACACCCCAGGTCTCTCCTCCAGCGTGCTCTGAAGCACACAAAACTCAGGGAAATTCACAGAGTCCTCTTCATCTCTGAGCGGAGGCAGGAATGCTGACACGCTCAACTGCTTTGTTCCCTACAGCTCCTGTGGCCGCGGCTGCTGCTCTATGTGGTTCCAGCTCAGTACACGGGCATGCTGATCCCGATCTCCCGCTGCATCCAAAGCCTGGCTGAGAGAGAGGACCTGGCAGCGCGGGAGGTAGGAGAGCTGGATCCACACTTCCTCAGCTCCGTGTTTCAAGGTAGGAGCAGAAACTCCCCCAGGGAGCTCTGCTGACCTGTATTAGCACCCAGAAGGGACAGCGGAGGGACATGTGGCAGGGCACTCAGCACACCTTTCTCCCCGCAGGCCCCCTGCTGACTCCCCAGACGCTGCTGGTGCGCCTGTTGGTGAGTAGATGCTCCAGGGGCCGGTGTCACAAGCCCCGAGGAGGAAGCAGCATGGCCGAGAGCGCCAGTGTCCACCTGAGCCCCGGGGCTGCCATTCTCTTCCCAGGCTCGCAGCACCATGGGAAAAGTTGTTGGTTGCTCCTTGCCTGCCAGGGCAGAGCCAAGCTGCTTCCCTCCTGGGAGA